GCAGCTCCATGTTTAGAGCAATTCAATTCCACACACCACACACAGTGGGGGCTATGCTACACCAGTGACAGTTGCAGAATATCTAAACAAATCCTGTGTTTCCATTGTCTTGAGAACCAATAATCAGGCCAAATTCCAAATTTTCCTGAATCCTGCCAGTCCACAATTATCGAGATCATCACAGAACCACTGTTACATTTACAGCATTACAAAATGTTGATTTTTAAATATTCAACAAGACCTATAGAGATCTTTTGTGCTAACCTTCAAATTTTAAACAAGATCACCCACTCCTCCTCCCAACCAATTATTACTAAAGAAAAGATAAGGAGAATATTTGATGTCTAAATCATGATCTCCCTTCACAAGCCTCAGTTCTCACAGATCAATTGCTTGTGTTGACCTATTTCTTCTGCTTTATCTGTGATATCATACAATGCTTGTATCATTTCACATTCCAGTAGTCACTGTGAAGAAGTCTCATTGGGTATCTTAGAAGAAAATAAAAACTAGGAAATGACGCTCTCTTTTATGTGTCAGGTCTTCTTATGCCATTTTCCTAGTCATCTATTTTTCCTTTGCATTCTAGACCTTGGTGTGCCAGTGTGAGAGTGATCTGACCAGTGTGGGCTGACGAGTGTGGGCTGACGAGTGTGGGCTGATGGGCCTCTCTCAGTGGACATGGACTGCAGAGAAAGCAGGACAAATGTAGGACAAGTCATTGCTGTAGGTGGCTGTGAGTCTTATTTAGCATATGAGATGAGGCAAACAGGGTTAGTGTTCTCATCTGGATTTTACTGTACACGTAAAGATCAACATTTAAAAAGGGCAGGACTGCCGGGTGGTGGTGGCACACGCCTTTAATCCCATCACTCGGGAGGCAGAGCCAGGTTAATCTCTGTGAGTTCGAGACCAGCCTGGGCTACCAAGTGAGTTCCAGGAAAGGCGCAAAGCTACACAGAGAAACCCTGTCTCAAAAAAACAAAAACAAAAAGTGCAGGACCTCTGATTCTGTAATGAGCTGTCCTGAGGGGCTGAGATATGGATAGAAAGGAATGTAAGAGAAAGAGTCTTTCGTAGGAACACAGAACGAATTTATTTCTTTCTCTCTTCCTTTCTTTCCTTCTTTCTTCCCTTCTTTCCTCCTTCCTTCCTTCCTTTCTTTCTTTCGTTATTTTTATTTATTTATTTATTTTACAGCTTGTCTGCAGTTTTCCCTCCTCCTCTTTTCTCAGTTCTTTCCCCAGCTGTTCTCTGCCTCTACCCCTAATCCACTCCTCCTAATTCCTATGCAGAAAATATCAGCCCTTTCCTGGATATCAACATAACACAACATTTCAAGTTGTAGTATGACTAAGCACCTCACCATGTATTAAGGCTGGTCAAAGTGAAACAGTATGAGGAGTGGGGTCTGAACAATATGCAAAGGAGTTGGAGACAGCATTTTCTCAGGAAATTGGTAATTGATCTACCTCAAGACCCTGAAAAGTCATCTTTCAATAGTGTAGAATTTTCCAGTAGTCCAGATTTGGTCTGGTATCCAGTTTTTATTTGAAATTATTGTTATTATTTTAGTTAATATATACCATAAAGAATTTCATTATGTCACTATCACACATGTGTAGCATGTTCTTTTTTGGTATTTGCTCCTCTGTCACCAATATCTGTTGCTAATCTGACTACCAATTCTATTCCTCCATTCAAACATATTCCTTCTCACTTTATGATGTATGTGTGCTTGTTCAATTTATTAGGCAAGTGTTTCCATTTTATAGCTAAAATACTTGATTGTACCTTCATATGCACAGTTCCTCAATGTATTCCACTTACTAGACTTAAATCAAAGTAAGCTAGACAATGGTACTCTAACTGCAAGTGAAACAGAAGCAGTCATTAAAATTCTCCTAAACAAACAATGTCAGAACCAAATAATTTTAGCAGAGAATTTTTCCACACATTCAAAGTTGAATTAATGTCAACACTTCTAAGTATCCTGAAAAAGGAAAACAGAAGGAACATTGGTTAGTTCATGTTATGAGCCCTCGGTCGTTCTGATACTCAAGCCACATTTTGTTATAACAATGAAAAAAAGAATTATAGACTAATTTACCTTATGAATGTTGGTACAGAAATATACAAAAAAAATGTACAAAACAAATCCAAGAGTACTTCAAAAATACTAACTATAATGATCAAGTAGGATATCATTCCAAAGATATCAGGATGTTTCCATCTAATAAATTCAATAAATTTATTCCATAAACTTCAAAAATAAAAACACAACATCATACCATCAGAGGCATAAAAGATCTGTCACAGAACCCAACACCTCTTCATGATAAAAGTCTTGGAGAAATTGGGGATTCAAGACATGTATCTAAATATAATCATGGAAGTGTACAGCAACCCGATAGCTGACATCAATTTAAATGAAAAGAAACTCAAATGAATTCTGTTAATATTAGGCACAAGAGAAGGTTGTCCACTCTCCACACACTTATTGAATATAGTACTTGAAGTCTTACCTAGATCTACTGGAAAACTGGCTGAAATCAGGGGAAACAAATTGGAAACGAAGAAATAAAACAATTTGTATGTAGATATTGTGAAACTATACATGAGTGACTCCAAATATCCCACTGAGGAATTCCAACAGCTGATAAACACTTTCAGCAATTACCAGGATACACAATTTACTCACAAAAATCAATGGATGTCCTATTTACAAATTACATATGGACCAAGAAAGAAATCAGGGGGAAAAACTTTCACAATAGCCAAAACACACAAAAAAATAACTTGAGATAACTCTAACCAAGCAAGTGAAGTACTTCTAAGATAAAAAAACTTCAAGTCTTTAAAATAAGAAATTAAAGAACATATCAAAAGATGAAAAGTACTCCCATGCTCATAGATCACTATGATTTCAATAATAAAAATTTCCAGCTTACAGAAAGTAATCTACATATACATTTCAACATTCATCAAAATTCCTACACAATTATTTTGAGGTCTATACAGAAAATTTTCAGTTTTACCTGAAACACAGAAAATCCCAGATAGCTAAAATAATCCTCAAAAATAAAAGCATAGCAGCAATTCTCAGCATACACAATTTTAAGTTGTACTACAAATCTATAGAAATAAAATTCTTATGGCATTGGCATATAAACAGAGAAGTTGATCAATGGATCAAATTGAAGATACATAAAAATCTTGTATCTTTAATAAAAAAAAAAGTGAGAAATACACCCTGGAACGTAGACAGCACCTACAACAAATATTGATGATTGAACTGCATGTCTGCATGTAGAAGACTGCTGATAGATCCATCTTCATCACCTTTCACAAACTCTAGTACAAATTGATTAAAAACTTCAAAATAAAACCACGTACACTAAATCTGACAGAGGAGGAAGTGGGGTATAGTCTTGAACTCATTGGTATAGGAGATGATTTTTTGAACAGAGTAATGATATGGCATCCACGAAGATCAATAATTCATAAAATGGAACTCAGGAAACATAAAAGTTTCTCTAAGGTAAATAACACTGTTATCTAGAAGAAACAATAGCTACCAGAATGAAGAAAATATTTATCAACTCTACATATGACAGAAACTTATAAACAAAATATAGAAATAAGTAAAGAAAAATCCCTGTTATGCAACAGGCTATGCCTGCCAGAAATCCAGGTAGGTTACCTCCAGAATTTCTGAAAAGAAAATCATTAGTGCACACACTAAGACCAATACCTAAGAAATAGGGCCTCATGAGACTCAAAAGCTCCTCTAAGGCAAAGGACACTGCCATTTAGACAAAGCAGCAGACTAAAATTTGGGAAAGATTTTTACCAACTGTACACCTAATAGAGGAGTAATATGACAAATATATGAAGAACACAAGAAACCAGATATCAAAAACCAAATAATCCAATTTTAAAATGTGGTACAGATCTAAACAAAGAATTCTCAGAAGAGGAAAGTCAAATTAATGAGAAACATATAAAGAAATGTTCTTTTACCTTGCCTTACAGTATATAGTTTTGTCCTGCACTTTTGGCAATGGAAATAGAAGAATAGTGGATCTGAGAGAGAGGATCTGTAGGGGTGGTGGCTATGAAAGTCCCATACTGTATTTAGTCTGTGTTTAAGTGCTGTCAAAGTCACATATTCACTTAGACATAAAAAGAAGTACTCAGATTTTATTTCAAAACTTATTATATATCAGAGAAGGAAAGGAACTTACACTCTGCACTAGTGTTCATTAGCTAGGTATTGTAAAATAGGTGGCTGAGTGGAAGATTATAAGACACAATGTACAGAAAAGTAGTTTACATGACACTGTTTAATTACTGTTTATTATTAGAAGAAACAGTGAGTGTCAGGAAAAATGTATATTTTGCATTGTATCCTAAAATGTGTCTGTACCAACATTAAACTTGTCTGTTGGCAAATTTCTAAACGTTCTTATTAATAGAAAACACAGAACCAGATATAGAGGTGAAAACCTGAGAAAGATCAGAGGAATAGGAACAGCTACATGCTAACCTCACCTCACCAGCTGTGCAGCTTTGAAATCTGCAGATATTTCCTCTCAACCCATGCCTATATGCCTTTCTGTTCTGCCATCTGATTTGCTCTTTCTGTCCAGCTACATCATTTCCTCTTCCTGCCCAGTTCTGTCACTTCCTGTCTGTATGTACAGACCTCCAACCTCCATGGTTAACTAGTGTTGGGATTTAAGGCATGTGCCACTATTCCTGACTCTGTTCCCAGTGTGGCCTTAAACTCACATAGATCCAGACAGATCCCTGCCTCCCAAATGATAGGATTAAAGGCATGTGCTAACATTGCATGACTTTTTTACTCACTTATAATGACTGGCTTTTTACTCTGATCTCCAGGCAAGATTTATTTATTAAAGCACAAATAAAATATCACATTTCAGGACAAATAAAATATCACCACACATTTCTGTTAGTATTTATGAAAAGTGAGATCAAGAAAATGCTTTCTCCTTTAATTTTTTAAGAGAATTTCTCTCTGGTCTTAATAAAATTATGTAGCACTTGGGAACAAAGATGCATCCCAATAAGCCTGCACTGGAGGTCAAGATGGAGAAGACCTCCACAGACACCATGACCTTACCCTTGGTGCTGTGGTAGACTGGGAGAAAGGTGACCCAGACACTGCAGAACAATAACATGCTGAAGGTCAGCAACTTGGCTTCATTGAATGTGTCAGGGAGATTCCTGGCCAAGAAAGCCACAATGAAGCTCCCTAAGGCAAGGGAGCCATGGTATCCCAAGACACAGTAGAATGCAGTAGCTGAGCCCTTGTTGCACATGATTATGATATGGTCGTGCTCAGAGTGTGTATCAATGTCAACAGTGGGAGGAGAAACTCGCAGCCAGATTGCACAGAGAATAATTTGGATAAGAGTGCAGATGGCAATGATGTAGTTTGGTGCCCTTGAAACCAGGAAATACTTCATCCTTCTTCCAGAGACTGTGACTTTGAAAGCCAAAAGCACAGTAATTGTTTTGGCCAACACAGTTGAAACAGCCACAGTGAATGCAACTCCAAATGTGATTTGCTGCAGGATGCAGGTAGCTGAGTTGGGATGGCCAATGAAGAGCAAGGAGCAAAGGAAACAAAAGATGAGTGAGATGAGTAAGATGTAGCTGAGATTCCGGTTATTGGCCTTGACAAGGGGAGTTTCATGGTGCTTGACAAAGACCCCAAGAATCAGAACTGTGAATGCAGAGAAGCACAAGGCCATTAAGGCAAGAGCCAACCCCAGTGGGTCCTCATAGGTCATAACGATCACAGCTTTGTCAGTGCACAGGGTCTGCCCTGTATTGGCATACTGGTCCTCTGGACACTTCACACATTGATGCAAATCTGATGGACAAAGGGTAGTGTTATTAGTTCAGTTTCAGAATCTTTACTGACAGAAAATTTCCATTTTGGATTTTGACAAAGTTTTGCAATATCTGCATTTTGTTCCTGAGGATGTAATGGAATTACATGGCTGCATGGCAATGCTTCCATTTAGTAATATTCATTATCTTTATGAGTAATGAAACTAAAGCGTCACTTGTTTTGTCCACTTAACTGTATTGATGAGATCATTAATCATGTTTTCAGAAAGCAGAGATATTTCTAGTGCATTCTAGATGTGATGATAAAATATTTACACTGGTGAAATCACAGAAGCTAAATTCATTGACCACAATTTTTCTGAGTGTATTTTAACATCACAGATCCCTTCAATTCAGTGCGTCCTGAGATCTTTGTTCCTTTTATGAATGCTATGCTCATGAGAGATGGAGATGATGACTTCTACTGGGACAAGCTCTATGATACATTTTCTAGTGTGAATTTGCCAGTCCAAACACGCTGACATACAAGCAACACTAAATCAAATATGTTGATTGTATGTGCTTACAAATATTTATATATGTGTGAGCATTTAAAAGGAATAGAAGATCTCGTGAACTTGAGAATGCCTGGACTTACATGGGGAAAGCAAGAGGGTAAGCATGAATTGTGGATGTTATATGAATTTAGTATTAATGTGTATTAATGTGTGAAAACAGCAAAGGGTAAAAATTTACATAAATATGCCCCCATTTGTGTCTTCATCTGGAAGCCCAGTCACCCAACTCTCATGAATTGTTTTCAAAAAGCCAAAACTCTTTACTGAAAATAGAATCCTCTCTATATACTTAGCACTAAAAATCACTACATCTTGATTCCATTACTTAGAAGCAGACAGCACCTTGCAACTTACCTAATTTCGATCTCTGGGATATTCTGAGACTATGCATGTATACTCAGGATAAGTAAGCAGTGATAAATAGTATGAGTAAGATAACACAATATGCTTAAACAGGAATTATAACACACAATGTTTGTGTTGAGCAATATTCCCCCATTATTTGTAACACCCACTGTTGCAAAGGTAAGAATTGTGATTTCAATTGAGCTTAATCCTTGGGTAATTGCAGAAAGTAATGATAAGTTTCCAGGATTTTAAGTCATTTTATCTATAACAATACAATTAAGGGCACAAGCTATCCACAAAATTGTTTAAGGAACTAGAAACTTGGCTCAGCTGTGGAAATAATGTATTGCTATTGCAGGAGACACAACTTCAATCCCCAGAACTCATAGCAGGTCTCTCATAACTGCCTGTCACTCTAACTACAGGAACATCGGATCCCTCTCACCTGCATCTGCACTTGGGTAGACATAACCATCCATCTCACATACATACACATAAAGTAACAAAAATATTTTTGTTTAATTTGTTGTATTTATTGTTTAAATACCCTTTATTCTTAATTGTTTTTACATTTAAAACAATTTCATTACACTTTGCTTAATTATTTTAGTGAATGTTGTACATGGGAGTACATGGAAATCAGAAGGCATGTCTAGAAGTAGGCAACTTTCTCCTACTATGTGAAACATGGGGATAAACTCAGGTCATCGACTTTAGTTGCAAGGGTTTTAACTGCTGATCTATCTCACTGGCCATAAATGTCCTTTGTGTACTTTCATTTTATTTTGTTAAATTACAGAGCATTGAGAGAAAAACTGTGTGTTTGCCATTTGTATTTAGCAGTCCTTAATCAAATAATTATTTGACAAATATGGGCTGTGTAGGTGACAAGACATTTTGAATTATTGTGGCTAACTGTGCTTCATAAAAATCATTTTATTCTATTATTTTGTGACAGTAGTACCTGTGTACTGTATATAAAAACACTGAGTATAGGACTACTCATATTATCCACATCATATGTCAACATGTATTCTCACTTTCCTCAATTTTCAATGACATTGAACCTTTGAAACAGGTCTCTGGATATTATACTAAGTCTTTGGTCTCAAACTTTGAAGTTTCTGATGGGTTTCCACGTAATTATTTTCCCATTTCATTAGCCTTACAGAGGACTTGTATTTTATTTGGTTCCCATCACACACATGACAGAGGTCAGTGCACCTGATAACCTATTCTGTTTTCTATGGGCTCCTGTACATACATGGTGTGCATGACCTTACATGGGGTCACATACATACATGCCAAAAAATAAAACTATTTTCAAGATTCATGATCTGAATCTTGTCTACATGTTATTTTAGAGGAGTTTAATGACTAAGAAAAATGTTGTGTAGAATTTTCTGACACTACAGTTTGATAATAAAATGTATCTTTCATAAAATTCACCTGCCAAGAATTTACAATGAGTCTAAGATGTATGTCATGGTGTTACTTTGTGGGACATTGTAATTGATTACATTCCTACAAACACTAACTTAGAAAAATGATGTATTTGACTTGAGTAGTTGCATATTAAACACCTTCAGAATACTAGTATGAAGGGAGAAAGGAGGGCCAATGTGAAGGATATTTTTTCAAAAGCAAACACTCACTTGTCTCATTAGAAACTTCATTTTGGGGGCAAAGGATGCAATTAAAACAGCAGGCTGCCATTCCCTCCTGCCCATATTTTCTGAATCCAGGACCACAATCAGCACTGCATACTGAGGGTGGCATCTGTAGAAAATTAGACACAAGCTGATATGAGGAGTTTTACCTACCCATTCCATTAATGGATTATATTAGCATATTGAAATATCATTTCACTTATTTTATATAGACCACATGAGTTATCACATTTCACTTTGGAAGTTATGTAATGTCAAACATATGAATGTAAGGAGACAAACTGATAAAAAATTGAGTTGCTTCCCTGTGGGATAATTCATCCCTAACAGGCTTGAGGGCCAGAGGGCCCATACAAGTAAGAAAGATACTTTCCGAGAGCCAGCCTGGGTCTGCCTGATGGTCTTAGCAACAGCAGCTGAAACATGATCTGGAGATGACCTGGACCAATGAGAGGCAGCAAAGTCATACCAGCTGATGAGTATTCATTAGACCTCCCCCCAGGGTGGGGTGGAGGGTATATAAGGCTTGCCTCTTCCTGAATAAACTGAGCTTGTAGTTTCCACATTCTTTCAGAGTCTGTATGGTTTGACTCTGCGCCTACTTGCCTCCCGCCCCCAAAGAGAACAACAGCAAAGGACCCTGCTACACCTCCCAATCTTAAATATTTAGGAGGAAGAATGAGTTGTTCACTCTATGAAAACACTATAGACCTTTCAAGCTGCAAATTCTAGTTAGTTTTCATCAACATGACACAAAGTACATTTAAAAGATAGAGGAAATCTTAACTAAATATAACTTGTTGCATTGGACTATCCTGTCATATCGGTAAAACATATTATTATTGGGTAATTTATGTAGGAGTGTCCAGCCCACTTTGGGCAGTGCCATTCCCAAGCAGGGCTGTATGAAAAATCAAACAATCAAGCTAGTAAACAGTGTTCTTTTTTTGGGGGGGGGCTGTTGCTTTAGCTGCAGTCTCCAGATTCTTTCCTTTTCCTCCCTTGACTATAACCCATGAGCCAAGTCAACCATTCCTCCTCACATTGCTTATGGTTAATCACAGCAACAGAGTAGCAAGCTAGAATGCATGGATATCTGCAACAGGGGAGATATCTGCTCAAATTTCAGATAGTAACAACGACCTATAGCAAATTACCACTGCAAACCATGACAAATTATAAGGAAACTGTTGAATAGGCAGAACCCAGAATATTTATGGTGAAGAAATGCTGAGTTGATGTGTATTGAGCTGGAAGGTGGAGTGTTTCCTAATATGAAAAGTCGCTACAAAGACTGTAAAAGGAGGAGGAATCTCAATGCATGTTAGGTTGTTTAATATCAATCAATGGATTTTTTAAATTTAAAAAATATGTATATATCTATGTATTACCATGAATATGGTGATTGAAATCTCTCTTGTGCACCAAAAAGTTCCTAATTCTAATATCCTTTGTTGTGTCTCCTATACACAGACAGGGTCATCACAAGTTCTCCAAAAATATGGGCAACTACAACATCTTCTTTTCTGTTTTTGTTGTCATAGTTGGGTCTCACTGTTTAGGGTTGGTTGACTTCAACTCCCTACCTAGACCAGGTGACAATTTTTTCTTCTTTTTTGTATTTTTTTCCTTTCACCAATGTTTTAAGAATTATTTTTAAATAATAATTGAATTTCTTTTTATTTATTTAAGGCAGTGTTTCCACATGCAGTTCTGGCTTGTCTGAACTCACTATGTAGGCCAGGCTAGCTACAAGGGGACATAGAATTTTTTAGCCTCCGCTTACAATGAGCTAGGATTAAGACATGTACATCTGTCCACACACAGCTATCCTAATTTCTGATTTTTATGGACATTCTTTTATTTTCTCTTCATGTAGTACAATGCTGCCAATAGTTTTGCCATAGAAAACCTTATTATATCAACATGTGTTCCTTCTATTCTTTCAGGCTTTGTTTTGTTTTTTAAATCTGAGTAGTTGATAGGTTTTTAAGATTCCTTTCTGCACATTTTTGGATAATAATATAATTGTATTCTTATGTTTATTATGTGATATCTTACACTCTGACTTGCCTATGTGAACCGTGCTTGCATCCCTGAAATGAAGTCATCTTGGCTCAGAGATTGATCTTTCTCTTGTGTTTTTGAGTTTTCTTGGAAGGTGTTCAGTGAAAAATTGTTTCATCCATAACTATCAAAGAGATTGTCTCTAATTTTTTTTCTATTTCACTTCACTTCAATATTTTCCCACATTTTGTAGAACTGCTCTCTCCAAAATGTGGGAAATATTCAAAATGCATATATTTGATTCCCATATTGATACCAGAGTAACTTTCTTAAACTAATGTTGTTGCCTGTGTGTTTTGATAAAAGGTGACCATTAACACCTAATTATTACAGAAAATTATTTTCCATTTGTTCTTATTCAATATTGGATAGTTTTCTGGTAGCTGATTTTCGGACTGTTATTTAAGTGCTGTCTATTCATTCCTTTGATCTCTTGTGTTCATCTTGCTTTTCAGTGAAGGGGTTCTTCAAGTTACTGCTTGTTTCAGTGGTTATGAATTGTTGTAATTGTGTTCATTGTTCAACTTCCATCTGTTTCCTTCTATTATTAGCGATATCTTACTGTGTATAGTAACTCAGCTTGGAAGTTATGTCCCTGCGTGTTAGAAATGCATCATGGGCTGGGAGGCACTTGGGAGGCAGAGCTAGGTGGATCTTTGTGAGTTTGATGGACAGCCTACACAGAGAAACTCTGTCTTGAAAAAAAAA